CTTGCAATGTTGTCCCAATTGATTCTGTAAGACCTTCGAGCGTGATTCCTAAGACCTCTGAACATGATTCCTAAGACCTCCGAGCATAAATTCGATTTACGATGTTTTCTCGATTGATTCCTTATTTTTCGACTGACGGTGTTGTCCCAGTTGATTCTATAAGACCTCCGGGCATAAATTCTATTCGCGGTGTTATCCTGATCGATTTTTTGATTTTTTGACTTGTAGTGTTGTCTCAATCGATTTTGTAAGACTTTTGGGCACGATTCTGTAAATCCTCTAAGCATGACTCTTAAGACCTTCGGGCATGATTTCTAAGACCTTCGGGCATAAATTCGATTCGCGATGTTATCCCGATCGATTTTTTATTTTTTGACTTGCAGTATTGTCTCAGTCGATTCTATAAGACCTCCGGGCATAAATTTAATTTACGGTGTTATCCCGATCGATTTTGTAAGTCCTCTAGGCATGACTCCTAAGACCTCCGGGCATGATTTCTAAGACCTCCGATCATAAATTTGATTCGTGATGTTATCTCGATCGATTCCTTATTTTTTAACTTGCAGTGTTGTCCTAGTCGATTCTATAAGACCTCCGAGGATGATTTCTAGACCTCCGGGCATAATTTTGATTCGCGATGTTCTCCCAATCGATTTTTTATTTTTTGACTTACGATGTTGTCTTAGTCGATTTTCTAAGACCTCCGGGTATAATTTCGATTCGTAATGTTGTCTCGATCGATTCTTTAATTTTGATTCACGGTGTTATCCCGATCGATTCTTTAATTTCGACTATCAGTGTTGTCCTAGTCGATTTTTTATTTTTTGCCTTGCGGTGTCGTCCCGATCATTTTCTTTATCACTTGACTTGTGGTTAAAAAAAAAACTTTTGAAAAATCCACGATTTGCTTTTGAACAAAATCGTCGTCTTTGTCTTTGTCTTATTTTTTATTCTCAATAATATGCAAAGAGAGGCAGTTGTAGACACCGATTTTATCCGGGTCTACTAATTTCAATTTTTGTTAATAATAATTTTTTATAATAATAATATTGGTATAATTAAAACTAAAAATTAATTAAAACAAAAAAAAAACAAAAAATGGCAGAAAGTAGGGCGGCTGATGCCTGGCACCAACCACCTTACAGCTGCCACTAGTCGCCCACGCTCATACCGATCAGCCTCATGTCCAGTCACTAGACCAAACAACCACCCTGCCACTCCTACAACCATCACATGTTCCCCTTTAAAGCTCCTTAAAAACCCTCAGCTTCTCTTTTTTAGGCTCTCCTCTCGAACACACGAAGAGCTTACCCTTTATCACTGCCTAGCCCTCATTTCAACAAGCTCAGTCCCCATACTAGTACCCTAATCTGAACCTCAACCCTCACCAAACCTATACCCAAACAGAAACATAAAAACAGAAACAAAAAATAAAGACAAACAGTCTTCCTCATAAGAAGGAACCTCACCGTCAGAAAACCCTGTAAACAAGCAAAAAAATCATCAGTTTCTTTAAAAAAAAAAAGATAGAGAAAAGAGACCAAAAGCTTTAAGCCTCGATCGACGTAGATCAGGGCTGTTTCTAACAAAACGAACTTTGGATCTGAAAATAAGGCATAGAGGTGAACGATTAGGAGTCTTTTTAGTGTTTTTTGTTGACTGACGACAACCACCGGTGGCGGTCAACACGGTGGTGGTGCGACGACAAGAGAGCTGACGGTCGGACGCTGGCGGAGTCCACAGAGCTCTCTTGGAGCTCTGAAAAATTTTTTTTGGCAGAAAGGATGAAATGAAACCAAAAAAAAAGTTAACTTTTATATAGAAGCCAAAGCAGCAAAACGACGTCGTTTTGCTTAAGGATAAGAACTGCGCGTATACCAGGTTCGACCTGGGATTCGCATAACTCGACCCACGAGCCGCTTTTACCTCAGCTCAAAATCAATCCATTTGAACCGGTATCGAACCACTAGTGAACCGGTCTGAACCACTGGACCACCCAAACCGTAAAATTAAACCATTGAATCGATCCAACTGGTCTAGACCAAGTTCAGGTAAAAAAATTTTTTTTTTTGTTTTTTATATATATATTTTGTTATTTTAAGTATTTTTTATATTTATGCATGACAAATTTTTAAATTTGTTAGGATAAATTTTTAATTATTTTTAATAATAATAAAATTAAAAACAAGTAATAACTAAAAAAAATATTAAAAATGCTAAAAAAAAATAATATTTATTATTTTTCCTGCCTAGATATTGGAGGGAATGAAAAAATATTCCTAAAAATAATTTCGCCTATATGTTGGAGAATTATTATTAATAAATTTTCATAAAATAAATATATAAGAAATTCTTAATTAATTTTCAAAAATCACTAAAATCGAACTTGTTCCAAAAATTCACCTAGATATTGGAGATTTTTAGAGATGTTCACATTTTCTTAAAAATGAAACCTCAATTTTTAAAACCAAAACCTTAGGATTCTAAAACCCCTAAAATTCAAAATCCTTTAAATCCAAACCCCTAAAATCCAAAATTTTAAAACCCCTTAAATTCAAACCCCTAAAATCTAAAATCTTAAAATCTAAATTTTCAAAACCTTGAAGCCCTAACATTTAAAACCTCTACTCAAGTCCTTACTCAAAACATCATAAAAATCCTAAGGACACTGTATGAAAATTTTACTTAAAGTAACTTGTTCTCGAATATCGCCTAGATGATGGGATGTTTAAGAAAATTTATTTCATTAAGTCTTTCATACCCGTCCTTAATTCGTCTTAACAATGGAATTAAAACTCTAATAAAGAGTAATAATAAATTAAGATCTTAAATATAAATAGTCACACCTAAGTTCTGCCTAGATGTTAGAGAGTTGGGGTAATCTCATTATATTCAAGAACCCTATTCTAAATTTATATGTCATCACTTTGCTTAACATCCACTAACGTACATACATCATCATGTTATTCATGTTGCATTTCTCTGTCTTTAATTTTTATTTGCTACCTAATAATACTATCATTTATTTTCTCATATAAAATGTTCTACAAAAAAAAAATACATATTTTAAAATTTTGATATTATAAAATAAAAAATAACATTCCGAATGAAATAATTCTTGGTACTCTGCCTAGATGTTGGAGAGTTACTAACAATTATATTTTATAATGATTGTTATTTCATTTTAAGGATTGATGTATTAAATCTTAAGCAAAAAGAGTTATTTTAAATTCTGCCTAGATGTCGGAGAATTTTAAAATAATTCTTTAACTTAAAGATTTTTTTAATATTTTTAAATAAAAATTTTAGCAAAAATATATTTTTTTAAACGTTTGGAATTAGTATTAAATTTTAAGTCAAAATCATTTTATCCAACACCGAAAATAGTGCATGATTAAATGGTACCAATTATGGGCATTATGGGGTACTAATCTTTTTCCACACGTAACTAACTCCCTGACCCAACCTGATTTTTTATAGATCGAAATTTATCTTTTTAATAAATTTTAAACCCGCTTTTAAAATTTTATTAAAAAACTAAATTTTTGGGTGATCAATCATACTTTAAAACAAATTGATAACGACTCTTTTCATTTATTTTGATTTTAAAACTTATTTATATTTGACGATCTCAATACCGTTACGACAATAAGATGTCAAGCTTCCACCTAAAAATTCTGCATAAAATTTTCCTCCTCTCCTCTGCATATTAAATGATGAAGCATAATGGAATTGTGTTGTAAGAATTTGACCATATATATGAGATGATTAATTATAATGGACTAGTGTAAAAATTCAGAACTGAATAACTGAGCTTATACCTTAGCATGTTCTAACTGTTCCAGAAGCAAAACCCCAGCTCCCTCTCCAATTACAAATCCATAATAATTATGTGGTCAAACCTAATATTAGGCGTTATGACATTATAATTAGAATAATATCTAGAATTACATATGATTACAATATCATATGTGGTCTTCTATATATAAATAGAACACTTCTATATGGTTGCAGAATTACTTCTGTCAAGCCAGATGGTGGATGAAAGAAATTGGTCCCTCGACATATAGCATACATTATAACTCTGCCCAGGAAACTTTCTTATCTAAATTAACCCTTTCTTACATGAAGTAGTCTCTACTCAATGCACTTAATCCTGATCTTTTTACCTTCGTGATTGAAGATCTTTTATCATTTATGAGTAGTTGTTTTGTTTAGCCCAAAGGGTACGTCTGCTGTTTGTAGTTGGTATTTTTTTTTCTTGAAAATCGAGTTGGTATGGTTTAAAACTTTATTGCTGAATAAATCAGTACTTTTTTTAGTGATTTGGAAAAGTGCAGGAAGATCATACAGGACTTACTAAATCAAATGCTTATCAATCGTGTCTATGTTGTGTTAAAATTTTGACACTATTGTTTATTTAAAAAATTAGCATTTAGATCATGTCATGTAATGCTAATGTTGTTGACACAATTATTAATTATGTTGAATTTGTAAATTCTCAATTTTTCTAATTTCTAGTACCCAGATTTCTGCACAATAAAATTATAAGCCACAACAGAACAAAAGTATAGGTTTAACTCTGATATCTACAGTACATCATTGCTGGTTTTCTTATTATTATTATTTTTTAATGTTTTAACCGAATTTGTGTTACCATACTGTCCTATGACTAGAAGTGTAAATGGAATATGGTTTCAAGTTTTCCAAATGATTCTATTTGATTTTTTCACTTAAAAATGGGATAGATTTCTCGGACAAGTAGAAAATTTTCACGAGCTGTTGCTTTCCATTACAAAAATGATAAGGATTTATTACTTTTCTCATAAAAACTTGTTCCAGGGTTCATTGAATAAGCTCTTTTGTCTGTTTCCAGGATTTATGGTCGTGAATCCAGATCACTTGATGTGACTATGAAACAGACAGATAGAATTATAATAGTATTCATCCAAAAAAAAGAAAGAAAAGTAGTAGGGACAAGAGGACATAAAAAATGAGGAAAATGACCAATGACACGGTGACGGAGGTGGCAAAATCAAAGACGCAACTCAATATTTATTACTAAATTCTCTGTCAGTTCTTCCCCGTGAACATTTTGTTTTCAATGCAATTAGTTAAAATAACCAAGAAAACTAGTAAGTACAACGCCTTCTCTAACATTCACAAATAAGAATTCTGGAGAGGCTTTCAACTCTCATAGGTATGTTTTGTTTTAATCCTTGCTTTGACAATAATGATCTGAACTTAAACCCATGCTCTGATGGGTCACCATGCACTGGTTTTCAACTTTTGATGGCATTCAAGCACTTTTCAATTGTTCTCATGTATGTTATCAGACGATATCATGCTATATATTGGCCTGCAAATAAGATACTGATATTTAAGCAAGAAAATGGGGTTGCTAAGAATAATTAGCTCCAATTTGTGTACATACCAGCTTCTGTCTGCTTGTCTGTACCTGAATCTTGCCATAGCCTTCCATCCCAAATCTATCAATGAATAAAAGTTGACGTATCATTTGAAAGTTCTGTTTAATTTAGTGCCGTAGTGCCGTTTTCCAATTTTCAATTTCTCATCGTTGGTATGTAAATGATCCCTGATATGCGTGAGAAACCTTTATTTGATATAACTTATGATCTCATATGGTCAACAACAAAATTTTTAGAGGCCTCAAACAATGGTTTTGCCCATTGTAGGAAATTGTAGCAACAAGGGTCTGTATATCACAACTCTCCTAAGTTCTAACATTTATTCCAGTACTTATGCTATGGTTTATTATTGAAACTGCAGTTGCAGTTAGAGGTAGATGTGGCAGAATGTTAAAATACTGTCTATGTTTCTAGGATAATGGAAGCAGAACCCGTTAATGTCATTGAATTTCGAGAATTAGCTAGGCAATCCCTTCCAAAAATGTACTATGATTTCTTCGCTGGAGGAGCAGAGGATCAATACACCGTAAAAGAGAATGAGGAAGCATTTCACCGAATCACGTAATGCCTTAAATTGCTTATACTCTGAGACTGAGCAAATAGGTTTCATCATTATAACTAATTATTATCTCTGACTTCTTAGTATTCAGCCTAGAATTCTTCTAGACATGAGCAGCATTGATTTATCAACTACAGTATTGGGTTACAATATCTCAATGCCAGTTATGATTGCTCCAACTTCTAGGCATCAGCTGGCAAACCCTTCAGGTCTAAGTCCTCTACGAAGAATTCCTTTTAACTTATTTCAAACTTTTATTCAATAGCTGTTTGTTTTATTTCCAGGAGAGATTGCCACAGCCAGAGCAGCATCTGCATGTAACACAATAATGGTACAATATATATGAACTTTTCGGTGCCTTAGATTTTATAGTCTATTTCACTGTTAATTCTTATTCCAGGTTTTATCTATCTCATCTACCTGCTCTTTGGAGGAAGTAGCTGCCTGCTGCAATGCTGTTCGCTTCTTCCAATTATGTGTATTTGGCCTTGCCTGAGCTCTTTTAATATTACCATGTAGACTTTATCTTTAGTTAGCCGCAGCAATTTCTTCCTGTTACTTAAAATATCATTGCTAAGAACTAGACTCTACTTTGGTTTTCCTCTGAATAGGTGTATAAGAGACGGGATATATCAGCTAAGCTGGTGCAAAGAGCTGAAAATAATGGATATAAGGCTATTGTCCTAACTGCTGATTCTTCACGACATGGTCGAAGGGAGGCAGACATTAAGAACAAGTGAATTATGATCATTCTCTTTTTCATTGAGTTTCTGGGCAATAAAGATCCATTTGCTTTTAAATGTTTGGATTAATCTGCTTCATTGAGATTAGAAACTGATGCGGTTTTTACCATGATAAGAAATAATGTTCACAATTTACGTGGAAAGCTATGACTTGCATCTCATTTGAAACATTACTTTTGAGAAATCTTTGCAGAATCATTGTTCCTGAATTGAAGAATCTGGAAGGTCTATTATCAACTAAGATTGTCAATGTGAGTAGAATAGTCCCAACTCGCATCTTTTAAGTTGTGTGGGCATCCAGCTTCTTAAGCTAAAACCATGTTTTAATAAATGCACTATGCATCTTTTTATCCAGACTGCAGAGAATAAAATGGAGAAGTAATGAGCTTATATTAACTGCCAAATTCATTGGACTGTCTCTTACTGGATAAACCACACTGTTTTTATGAAAGTGTTCAAAGGAACACATCTTGTATTTTCTTTTGTTTTGTCTTGGTCTTGTCTTTTTCTCCAATACAATGTTAATTCTACACTCCCACAGATATTTGGCACATAAAACATGTCCCCTTTTCTTTTAAAAGGCCAAAGGAAATTGATTGGAATTAAGGGATTGGGCTATATATCTATTAAGCCTGTTTGATGTTTTTGATCATGGAATATAGGTAACATGTAATTGATTTTGCAGGATGAAGGTTTAAATTTAGAAGCTATGGCCAATTGGATCCGTGATCCTTCTTTTTGTTGGGAGGTAAAGATGAGTAAATCATTCAAGTTATTTTGTAATATGTTCAAGGATATCTATTACAGAAGCAGTAATCTCAGGCTTATTCCACCTTACTTCCTGTTTCTCTTTACATTGCTAATCACATGAATAATTATATTAGTACTGTAACACTCCCAATCTTATATTTAAAAAATGTGTGGATAAAAAATATATATGTAAATATTTAAACTCAAATTTGTAAGTTGCTTTTTATGATATAAAATTGTGAAACTTTCGAGTCAAAACAGACAATACCTCTCAGATTAAGTGTAAATTTTCACAAATAGTATCAGAACGACTTACGTCTCTAATTTCACATTTGAAAAATGCGTGGATAATAAATGATATATAATTATAATGTCAGTTAAGTTTTAAAAGTAGAGAGATTATAATGCTCTTAATCTTACATTAAAAGAACGTGTGGATAAAAAATGATATATAATTTTAACACCCTCAATCTCACGTTGAAAGAATATGTGGATAAATAATGATATATATATAAAGATTTAAACCCAAATTTATGTTAGCAAAACTGATTTTTTGGACAAGAATTGTGATTTCAATCAGATTCACCTTAAGCTTGAGTAAAAGAGTGGATTTTACTATGGTTTCCGGGCCAAAAATTTTCAACCACCCTGCAATTCCAAACTAACCTTCGTTGTTTATTTTAGTACTTTGCTTAGCGGTCATTACAGATATTAAAGAGCAATTTCTTTTTCTCTCTATAATATTATTAGAGTCGTCTGGGAAGAGTGAGGTGAATATGAGAAGCAAGAACCATTGTTGTGGACCTCCGGTGCTATTCCTGGTTTTTAACTAGTACATTGTCATTTCCACGCAGGATATCGGATGGTTGAAATCTATTACAAAATTGCCAATTCTGATCAAAGGGGTTCTCACTCATGAAGATGGTAAGGTTCAGGCATCACCTTTGTCAGTTTGGGTTCCCCATTGAAGTCTTCGACTCTAGTTGAACATGCTATTAGTCAGCTATTTATATATAGTCCCTTGCCCTTCAGCAGATTCATTTAGATTCTGTTAAAATAAAAGAAGTTTTAGTAAACACATCAGTTTGAATTTGTGCCTACATACTTTCTTTTGGCTTTGGCTGCTGAGTACTGATTGAGTATTTTCAAAACTTGGCGCTACCATTCACAGCAATAAAGGCACTGGAAGTTGGTGCTGCTGGGATTATTGTCTCCAATCATGGAGGTCGTCAGCTGGATTATTGTCCTCCCACGATTTCTGTTCTGGAAGAGGTGCCCTCCTTGCATATCATTGTTCTTTTAATCTATATAATATGCAGTTTTAGAATATAAAGAATTTAAAATGTGCAACTGCCACCTTATATAATTAAGCAAAATCACCCTCAGTTTTACATTTTTAGTTCTTTAAGGAAAGCTGCATTAACTTGCACTAGTACTTGAGTGTTTGTGTACAACTTATAATGAGGAGAATCTGAAACATTTTCATTAAGTGCTGATGCATGCCTTGCCTGCATAAGATTTTGTACTCGCAACTTTTGCTTTTGTGAATTTTGTGCTGGCTACTTCCCAACAAAATTATTATCAGTAAGAAAAAATTCTCTATATTCAGTTCATATTTGTGCACAATGAGATCACAGGTGGTTCATGCTGTTGGTGGAAAAGTTCCAGTTTTCCTTGATGGAGGAGTGCGGCGAGGAACGGATGTTTTCAAGGCAATAGCTCTTGGTGCACAAGCTGTCCTAGTAAGCTCTTAAACCTCCCTCTATCAGTTCTGTCAAGAGATAAAATAACTGCCATGTTTCGTTTCTAGCATCTGATTGCAATTGGTTATCTGGTTTCATTCTCTTTTTCCCTGTGACATTCACTTTCAAGAAGACTATTTTGCTTGCTATGTACTTTTTAGGTTGGAAGGCCAGTGATCTATGGACTTGCAGCAAAGGGGGAATATGGAGTCAGACGAGTCCTTGAAATGCTTAAGGATGAGCTTGAACTTACCATGACCCTTTCTGGTTGTTCTAGTGTGAAGGAAATTACTAGGAGCCATGTCAGAACCAAGCATGACCAGAAGCTTCTATCTATGCTTTAATGGTATCCAGTAGAGAAAATCAAACATATGTCGTGCAGATCGATATAGAAGTGTCGTAGAATCCTTATCGTATCATGGTTGCTACTGAGAATGAGACGTTGTAGTAGTCTAAATTAACACTATCGTACCCTACTTTTATTAATTGAAACTCGTGAATGATATATTTTGTTGCTTTCCTTGACTCGTGATGGTACTCAATATTGCATAAATTTAAAAAAAAAAAAAAGTCTGTTATTTTATGAAATGATTTGACTACGAAATATATTAAAATAATCAAAATTAATTTTATTCAAAAAATCAATTTAATTTGTTTGAATTTGATTTAATCCGAATTGTTTTTTTTAATAAAAAACTAATTTGAAATCAACTAAATTTGAACAAAACCAATAACACTAATATTTTTCATTTAAAAAAAATAAAAATTAATAGTTTAAATAATGCAACTCCAGTCCATTTTCACTTCTCTTAAAAAATATATATAAAATTTTGGAAGGTGGAACAAAACCTTGTGGGCCCATTAGACACCCCAACGGTAAAGAACACAGAATTTCAAAAATCAAATTCTCTTGCTGTAAAACGCTATTCCCCAAAATTGAAACAAGGAAACTATGACTGAGAAAGCTCTAAAGGTTAGTAGTAACTATGGATCCTACCCGTGTTACGATCCGGTACTGACCCAAGTTACAGCATTGAAGAGGACACCCGCGCCAAGATCCAGAAAGAGTCCATCAAAACAAAAAAAAAAAAAAAATCAAAGGTCAGAGTAAGTCCCCATATCCTCATATGTAGGAGTATTAGTAATTAATTAGTTGGGTTTTCTTTAAAATTTAGTTTAACTTGATGGATAGCGTTAAAAATTTTTATTTATCCTTGTGGTGTTGCTAAAGATTTTGAATTGAGTATTGAGAAAGACCCAGAAGACATGCAGATGTCAGAGGTGGATGATAAAAGTTATGAGACTGTTCAAAAGATTATAACAGGTTAGTACTTATGATCTCAATAGAAGGCAATGAGAAATAAAAAGAATGATCAGGAAAGATTTTCATTTTCATTTTTCGCTGAAATTAAATATTTTTCTGGTTGTTTTATTTTGGAAATTTGATTTTCTTGTTACAATGGTTGGCAGCTGGGAAGCTAGAGAAGCTGAAAGTCGATGAATGTAAGGTTTATCCGTGGAAAAATGGACTTAGATTGAATGGAAATAAAGATATGCTTATTTAGAGTAATCTCCATTTTCTATAGCAGCATCATGATTTTGTAGACTTGCATAATTTTTCTTTCTTAATAATTTTATTATCTGTTTAGGATTTTAAATGGTGGTGGGAAGAAGAAGTATCCGCCATCCAGCTTCGTATTGAACTGTAAAGTACATATTTTAACTCATGTTTTACTCATGAATTCGGAGTTTGTGAACCAGCTTAACAGTGAATAAAAGCTCATATCAGTTTGTAATTTGTACCGTCTATACTACACGAGCTAATGGAGTTAGTTTCCATTTTTTTTTTATGAATAAGGTGGTATAGATTTGTGCCTTTTTTCTTTATAGATTTGTTCTGAGAATCAAAGGAATCTGGTGCAGGTGATGCATGCACTGGTGATGTCGTTTTGTTTGAGCAGAATGTTTATGAAACGTAAGTATTAGGATTATTCTTTTATGGAAAAATATAAGAAGCATGCACGCAAAGTAGCCCTTCATATACTTCTGATCTAGACAGCGCTTAATACTGTGTTAATTCAAGTTGATATAACTATGATATATTTTCCAACTCATTTGTCTAATTATGCTTGTACTGGATTTTATATTTGATTAGCCCTCTCTTATATGTATACTAATTATTTCAGGTTGATATAGCATCGCAAAGTGCTTGTGGTCCTTCATGTGGTACAAGAATAGTTGCTGGCCGCATTGTCAAAGAAAGCTATGGCGCTGCCAAACAGCAGCATGCATTTACAGTGAGTCAAAGAAAATCTATAATACATGTAGACATCTAATTTTGTCTGAACACGTTTCAATTAGTTTTGACGCTTAAAAGTCGGGCCCAATTCATGTCCAATATTTCTTTAAGATTTACAAATTTTTGAAAATGAATTTTGAGCTAAAATTATCAAAATATTTAGTGGTCAAACATGATCAAAAATAGTTAAACTCGATCAAATTTGGTCGAACTCAGGTCAACCTTTGGAATTTATAATTTAATAGGATTATTAAGACTTAAAATTAATAAAATTATTATTTGAATTCTTGAAAATCTTGATTGCACCTCAAAAGGGTGCAATTATCAAAATACCCTTTAGGAGTAATTTGGTCTTTTTGGGGTTGGCTTCTCGTAGAAAGCTCCAAATCATATTTAATATTATTCTATGAATTTTGATGCATTGAAATCTTTATTTGTACCTCAAAAATGATGAAATTACCAAATGCCCTTTAGGGATATTTTTGTAACTTGACCTTCTTGATGTTGGTTTTTTATAAAAAGCTTCAAATCATATTTTTATATTATTCCATTAATTTTGATGCATTAAAAATTTTGATTGCAGCTCAAAAGGAGTAAAATTACCAAAATGCTCTTTAGGGGCATTTTTGTAATTTGATTTTTTCGAGATTGGTTTTTTATAAAAAACTTCATATCATAATTAAATATTATTTTATGAATTTTGATTCATTAAAAATCATGAAAATGAAAATTGGATCATAGTATTCAAGAGAAAATCATGAAAAATACTTAAAACACTTATTAGGGCAAAATTATCATTTCACATGTCATGAAGGGTTGACTTAAATTTGATCGAGTTTGACTATGTTTGATCACGAGGCATTTTGATTATTTTAACTCAAAACTCATTTTCAAAAATTTGTAAATCTTAAGAAATATTGGACAGAATTGGGCTAGATTTTAAAGTATCATAGCTAGCTAAAATGTGTCCGGACAAAATTAAATATCTACAATATATGATAAACATGTTTAGATTAGAAAAGAGGACAAGACGTTAAAACTATTTATTGTTCTTCCTAGTGAAGCTACATCTAAGTATTGCTTAAATAACATTTCAAGGCAATAATTTGAATGAGAAGAGCATTGAAGGAAACAATCAGTTTATATTTACTTGATGCCTTTATTTTATAAAACTTTGAGCAACCTTGATACATAGTTTCCTGTGTTTAGGTGTAGAAGTTTTCCAACTTATTCCTGGCTGTGTATAGCAATCACCAAAATAAAACTCAGATCTAATGTTCTTTGTTGTTTTATAAGTTTCTCAAAAGTATGGTCAACTTCTGTCATTTGCTTAATTAACCTCTAATTATGTTATTAGACCAGAAATGATAAGGGTCTAATTAATGTTTATCCTACAACTTCATGTAGAAGGTACACAGTTTTGATATGACCCATGTAAGAGGATGAGATATTAATCTCAAAGTTTGGTAGAAGTTAACATGATATTTGTGGCTAATGTGATCAGATAGAAGTCCTCTGGAGTGAAGGGAAGAAACCGCTTCCACTTCACCCACTCCTAATTAAGGGTCGAAACCTTTACTGACTGAAGACTTTGAGACAGGTTTGACTCATTTCAGTGGTTTTCATTTTCAGCTGCCCAACAATTGCTGAATATAATGCTAAATTATCTATACTATTCATTAGAGGTGGGAAGATGAAGGGGAGAGGCAAAAAGTTTTGATGGAAAAGCATTAAAGGGGTTCACTTGCCAGGTCAGATAGAGAAGTGAGGATCCAGGAAAAGGAAAGGAGGAAAATGCTCAGAGCAAATAGGTAAATTGGTTCTGGTTGCCCTTCAAAAGATTCAAAATTAGTTACTCTTATTCAAAATTGGTTCTGATTGCACTTCAAAATATTCAAAGTATGCTGAAATAACTAATCAAAAAAAGATGCTAATTTTAGTTATTCCTATCATTGGAATCTCATTTTAGTTACTCTTATCATGTCTGGACTTTAGGATCTTCAAAAAAGAAGAGAGAAACAAGAATCAGTCTGAGTTAAGTTCAACAACAATGATAGAAATTCAACCTCAACAGCCTGCTTCATCTATTAATTCAGGGATGGTAGCACCCCAATATCATCAGTCAGGTTTAACTGTTGTAACAGGAAAACTAACAAGTCAAACTTGTGGATCAGGATCACTCTTTGATTTAGAGAAACCAACAATTATGTGTCAGCAATCAGATTTCTTAGCTGAACCCTGGCAGCTGGCAATTCAACCTCAGCTGTCTCGTTTATCAGTTGCTCCCATAGAAAAAATGATTCAACTCCCTGAACAGCCAGGTTTTTGTCCTAATTTCAGGACTAGAAGTTCTCAATCAGAATGTCCATATATTCACATATGGAACAGTTATCCAAATCAAATTCTTCATGATTCAGTCAAGAGCGGTGGCATTCAGGAGGATCGGCTTCAACATGGTGATAAATTTCACCTAAACAGCAAGCATCCTAACTTTGATATGAATAGATACTGGAATTGTATCAATGACAAATCCATGACAATCGGAAAAAATAAATTGCCTGAGAGGAATTCTCATAGACAGCAGTTGAGAAGCATCAACCATTGTCATCCAGCAACTCTGCCACAGAGACAAGTCTTCCATTCACAACAGCTTTGCCAATTTCATGCTCAAGGACGATGCTATTACTGAGAAAACTGCAAATTTTTGCATGAACCAGTAGAGGTGAAAGGAGCAGAAGAAAAGAGATGCTGGAGATAAAGTAAGTAAGAAAGATGGCGTGCCTTATAAACGATTCTTAAATTTAGAGTGCACAAAGGTTTATGTCCAATCCTATTGATGGATTTCAAGGAATTTATGGAATGTGTGGTAACTGAGCTTTTTGTCAGTTTTATTTTGTGTTTGCTGTATACCAATGCCTGTAGAATGCCACTGTCTTAGTAGAAGTTGGTGGAAATATGCTTAAAATTTTCTCACTGCTGTTATACAGTGATGTTGTTCAGTTTTTGGTATCAACCAGATCATGGCAGAAAACTCAATCTCCATGTCTATTTTATTTTGTTTTATTTTTTGGCTGAAGCCAATCAAGTTGCATGATGCTGGAGATAAGCCAAAAAAAAAAAAATGACAGTAGGTTAAACTCTAACATGTAGAGTAACATGTCTGCATGTTTCTGGTGGCTTGTTTGGAGGTTTTCTGATGGTTTTCTTTCTAATTACGGGAAAGAATTACTATAAAATAGTTACTTCATCT